AGTTAATAAAAAGTTTATACTGCAATTATGCCGCTCATTCATGTGTATTTTTTTCGCCACTTCCATTGAATTTATGTATATGTACTTCAATAATGCAATTAAGGCTACATAATTGATTCAATAGCACTTTTTTTCTGGTTTTTAACGCCTTTTTTCATTCGATTGTGTCTCTTCAGTGTTATTAATAGTTATTGTCTTTTGTAGTCAATCAATAAATTGTGCCATTAAGCATCAAATGAGGTTTCTTCTTTCATGATTAATACCTGTTCAATTTTAAATGCAAAATGAATTGAATGATTCATAAATAAGATGTATTCTTGTATCTTGGATGCGTGCTCATATCATAAAATATCAACATTGTAATGCATCACTTCCATGAAATTTTTCTCTCTTAAATTTATGTAGCGATAGAAAGAAACGACAAGAAAAGAATGAAAAAAATGATCGTAATGCAATAATACACGTATTGTGTGGTTGATGAAGAAGAAAAAATATACACAAGGAGGAAGAAGGCATAAACAGAAAATGTGACGTCACACAAGGCAACGTGAATATCAAGAGCGTTGTTGCCAGAACACGTGATTAAATCCACTTTTAGATTTTTCACATGCAACGCAGAAATTCTTTCCTTCATTAATTTAAATTGCCAGTTTATGACATGAAGGAAAATGAAAAATCACTGCAGTTGTGGATTACTAAACATCAACAAAAATTTAAACAGACAAACGATTGAATTTGGAATGTTATTATTGTGCCTTTAACAAGACTTTTTAAATTTTATAATTCTTGATCTCAAAACGCTGAAAATTAGATTTCCAATAAAATTATTACATTAATGGGCTGTGAAAAGTTTCTAAATTTAGTTACTGTAACGCATTCATTCAGAAATGAAAGGCGACATGCTTCAAAATTGATTTAGTTTATCGCACATTAGAATAAATTTAATAAAAATTTTATATTTTTGTCTTTAGTTATTAGAAATGATTTTCGGATCGAGTTCTGAAGAGAATTTATTCAAATGACGATAAAAACATCGGCTTAGTAATTTCATTTAATTTCACACTTTCTTGTATTAATAATCAGTGAAATCACAGAATAAAATGCAAGCTCTTCAGCATTCTAAAAAATTAATCTACTATAATACCATTTTTAACATCTTCTGTCGTCTCTTTCAAAGAAATAAGAATGAGGATCAGCAAATGAAAGTAAAAATGTAACACTCAATGCCATGCTTATATTAAATGAATTTATGGTTGATTGGATTTTCGCCTGCCAAGTAAATCTCGTTATAAATGAGTTCTGATGTTCTGACAGCATTTTATTTTCACTTCATTTGCAAAATTTGCCTTTGTGATTTGGATTTTAAGATAGTCTTGTTGGATATAAATAAAAAGGCCTGTATAATTTCATTAATTAGATGTTTTATGTGGAATGTAGGAAAAGTGCACAACCTATCGATAAAAAAAGCCATTTTACCTCCACTATAACACATTTATAATTTATATTGAACCTATTTTTTCTATTTTACATTCATATACGTCCACATGAATATAGACATAATGGTTATCCGTAAATGACAATAAAATGCTTGATAGCGTGATATTGGAAATCTCTAAATGAAAGAAAATATACCAAAAAAAAAGCAGCAAGAGTTGAGTAAAAAACGAGCGACAACATTAAATTCATCCGCAATACATAAATCAATGTTTTATATCCTTCCGATAAATTTTTATTGAACCATGTCCTCACCCAAACTATTCGCTTGCGCTGTATGAAAGGAAAGGAGGTCAGGGTTGTGTGTCAGAAATAAAGCATGGTGGTAAATGGAACCTCATCAGCGTAGACTTTTTTTTTGAGGTAAACACAAAAACATTTTAGTGGAAGTGATTTTCTCATGTACTTCCTCTTAATTTCTTTCATAACCCCTTAATTTTCATGTTCTTTCCTTTTTTCGTTCCTTCTTTCTTTTCATTTGACGTCTTCCGGTGAAATGAGCCCAAAATAGGCTTTTAAAAAAATTAGCATAAATACCTTTTTGGCCTTTATACCTTCTTTCTTCTTTTGACTTTTCTCTTTTATTTCGGCTATATCATAAATGATAATCGATACACTAAGTGTATTAATTCGTAATTCATTCATTCATTCTTTTTTCGTCGTAATCCTTCAAATCAATATTCATGCATAAAAATTGAAAGAAAAAAAATGTATATCCTCTAAAAAGACAATGAAAGTTAATTACTTTTACTCTTTGGAGACTCATTTGCGTAATTTTTATGAGACAAAAGACTATTGATGGCATCATAAAACATAAAACTGAATTCAATGAACTGAGATTGCACAATTATTATTTTTGATAAGACTTTCGGTAGATTTTTTACCTGCTTTTATGCATTTTTAATGTGTGCCTTGTTCGAGACAATTTTCTAAAGAATTTTATTGCTGCATTGAAGTTATAGTTGAGTGATTCTAATTGCTTCTTTAAAACAACGAAGTTGTAAGTTTTAAAACTAATTTAACAAAATTCTGACGAAATTGGAAATAAACATACCAAAATTTAATCAGAATTGAAACTCGTTAATAAAGTCAAATAGATTTCTTCTTAATTATCTTATATCTATCTTCAATCTGTAATACTATCAATAATTTTACATAAATTATGAAAATTTGCGTGATAAGCGATAAAACGAGATATGATCAATATACTTTGATAGATCAAAGCACAGACATAATTTACCACGTTTCACAAAATATCTAATATCATCATCCTTTTAACCTCATGATTGTCCTTTATTTATCTCCACTATGCACTCATAAATTCTCAAACCACAGCATTAGATGTGAAATGACAAGAAATCATGATGAGATTATAACATGTCACATGAGAACAATAAACTCATTTGAAAAAGCATTCTTACGTTGTATAGCATTTGTCATATTATGTCTGTCCATGGAATTAAACAATCTTTCAAGTGAAATATGAATTTCATTATGAAATTGTTTAGGTGACAAACTTGATGATGTTTTATCAGCAACTGCTATCGAAACCTTAAAGTTTCAACTAAATGCATACTTTATTGTATTTATTTTGATGATGATGAAAGGTTTTTTTTCTGAAATTTTATCACAGCTATGATGATGATCTGTTTAATCTGTATAAGATATAAAAGTGTATTAAGGGAACAATAATTTTCATTATTATGGAAATATGAAAGCGCACTCCATGACACTGTCATCAACATAAAATAAAAATTGCGTCCGGCAACTCATTTAAACAAAATGCAATAATCGCTACTGTACTACTCATGTGGATATGTATCCAACGAACCAAATATGACTTACGTAGACGCATGTACTGTAGTGCAACGGACACAATATTTTTATGAGGCTCAAAATGTCAACATTTTTTCTCTGAATTTCATGCATAAATTTTTTTGAATATGATAAAAATGTAAATGAAATGTTTTTAACTCGACTGCATAGTAATCATCTCAAATATCACTAATAATGTTGACATGGACAAAACTTGATAAAAAGCTTTTGCTTTTATTTACAAAAAATATTATGAATTTACCATTTGTTCAGCACAGACATATTATCGTCAGCTGATTTGCATAGATTCTTGGCACTTAATGTTATTTACAAACAATGACAAAAGAGTTGCACTTGCAGGTTAAATACACAGCATAAAAATTACCTCAATCAACAAAAAAAACTCATTGCCAAAAATTAAGTATTTTGCCATAACCATTAGCCGAAATAGACAATTTAAATAAATGGTGAGCCATAAACTAAAATGGATTGCAATGTTTGTAGCTTCATAAACCATTAATTAAGTTTTAATCCATAAAATCTAATCACGCTTATGAGTGTGTGCTTCATTTAATGTCAATTTATGGTGCAATTTTACGTCCGAGTTATGACACATTTCATGATGATAATTGTTATGCAGATGCTGTCACAATGATGCAGTGCTAGTTTATTTTGTCTATGCTTCTCGTCGAATTTTTCATGTTTTTTTGTAAAAAAGTCTGAATTTTTAACTGCACTAGAAACTAGATCTAAGTCTGTTCCTCCAATAATGATAGACATGAACAATAGTCGCTCATTAAAAAACAAGCATGAGCAATTAATTTTTTTTTGCATATAATAAGATTGTACAGCACAAACAAGCATAATAATGCATAGTTCTAACACTGACACGAGATTAAATGTCATTTCAGTGCACGTGACTTTCATTTAATGTCAAATTTCTTTTTCTTTCTCTCTCTGTTCTCGAAAACTTTCTAGACAAACTTTGTTTGATTCTCTGACGTAATGAAAATTATCAAATTCCAGCAACAAAATCCTCAGCAATGAACGTTTGTTATGTTTCAATAACATTGAATACAATTAAATTGTATTGTAGGAGGAATCAATACTTCAAATAAATGAAAAGTGCCCCACATTTGTGCAAAGCCTTTTTCAAAAACAGTTGATCTATCATAGTGATGATGATATTATTGATTTTATGACAGATTGTTTGATTTGTTCTATATTTATCTAACATTTTTAAATTTCAATCAAATGACGTATGATTGGAGCATGTATCAAAATCAAATTATGAAACAAGAAAAAAAAAATTCTTCACATCAAACATGCTCCGATAATTGAAAACTACAGCATGGCCTTAAAAGTTTTTTCTTAAAACTATACAATTTAGTGCTTGAGGGAATTCTTCATATCGCCCATCTCGACAATTAAATGCAATTGTCATATTGTGTTTATGTTATGACTTAATTATTGCATTTGTCGCACACGCTAATGAAATGACAATTTCATGCAATAATGCAACTTAATTATGATCTTTATGATGAAAATGACATACAAACATAAATACAGAACACGACCATATGTCCCATGCTAATATCACAGGAAAGATGAGAAAAATAATCTTCGTAATAAATTACATAAACTGGAAATTAAAATACTAATTGAAAATGTTTCTTTTCATCGCATTACAGGTGAAACAGCCACAACTTATCATTTCAAAACACTTGTGCCATCAGTAGCAGCAGGTGCAATCATTGGAAAAGGAGGCGAGACTATTGCATCACTCCAGAAAGATGCAGGCGCTCGCGTCAAAATGTCAAAATCACATGATTTCTATCCAGGTACATATGATTGTTTTAATTTAATATAAATAATATGTAATGACAAGAGAGGAATCTAAAATTTTGATTTGCGTAATTGCAGGTACAACTGAACGTGTTTGTCTCATAAGCGGTAATGTAGACGGAATATTGACTGTGTTAGACTTTATTATGGATAAAATACGTGAGAAGCCAGATTTGACGAAGCCATTAAATGATGCTGATGCAAAGCAACAACAAGAGCGTGATAAGCAAGTAAAGATTTTAGTACCAAATTCCACAGCCGGTATGATTATTGGAAAGGCTGGTGCCTACATTAAGCAAATTAAGGAGGAGAGTGGATCTTATGTACAAATTTCACAGAAACCAAAAGATTTAACACTTCAGGAGCGCTGTATAACGATAATTGGCGAGAAAGAAAATAATAAGAAGGCATGTCGTATGATATTGGCAAAAATTATGGAAGATCCATCATCTGGAACATGTTTGAATGTGTCATATGCCGATGTTAGCGGGCCAGTAGCCAATTTCAATCCAACAGGCTCACCTTATGCAAATCCACAAATCAGTTCAAGTACAGCATCCCTAAATTCAGCCCTCAGTCCTGCCACTGTTGGAAATGCAGCTGCTGCTGCAAATCTTTTGGTCAACGGAAGTGCATTGAATTTATCGTTAAATTTAGGTTCACCAAATCCAAACGTAAACCCCACAGTTACAACACAATTGTTAGAAAATATAAAAGTAAGTGTCAATGATTTACAAATTTTTTTTTAACCTTCCCACTGAGAAGCTACTATATGAATTTGGGAATTTATTTAATATTACATTCGTGAGCTTTCACCTTGCAAGCACTAAAATAATATTATCGTTATTGTTATTGCCATTGTCATTAAAATTAATTCTTATTGCAGCATGCCATGCGAAGCTTAGGTTATTCTGATTCAGCAAATTCTGAAGTATGTGCTGCTTTAGGAATACTAGCAAAATACGGTATTCTCGGTGTTGGTCTTTCAAATGGAACACACACAACCACATCAGCAAATCCACTTAGCTACTTAAACGTAAGCGGCCTAGAACAACAACAGTCACAACAAGCAACTGTTGGAAATATATTTGGTGCAATCGGCGGAAATCTTGAATCATTCATCAATTCACAGACACAACAGCAATCTCGGTCGTCTATTGAACGATTTGATGCAACATTTGATCCCTTTCGTAATGCCCAAGCTACAGCACCAATTTCATTAAACAATAATTTCGGTTTGACAACTAATCCATCAGCTCAAGCACTTGGTGCAGCACAATCGCTCGGAGCACTCAGTAAGAGTCCAACACCTGGCGAAATTGGCAGCAAAGATGCTAAGAATGTTGAAATCCCAGAAGTGATTGTTGGTGCCATTTTAGGTGAGTTAAAAAATGGACGAAATTTTCGTTTGTGTTAAATATGTAGCTTAAGAAAGGTGAAGTAATTAATTTGATGTTGTCACGCATCATCATACTAGCCATTTGAACGACATAAACAACTATAATTTAAGATCATACTAAGGGTAGGGATTAATTTGTTTTTGAGAGTAAATTGGTTTGCTGGGCTTTGTAAATTAATTTCCGCTATTATTTCTGTCTAATTTAGATCCTTACTGTCTACCTTACTTATTTTTAGTATTTTTTTATTTTATTTTTTTTTTATTTTTGTTATTAATTTTTGTTTTTTGACATTGCGAAAACCTCTTCCATTATTTTGTTCACAGGTAATCCCTACCTGCAGTCTGCCTACAATCCATTTCTGCAATGCGTTCCAATGAACTCAATCGAGGATCAGCATCGTACATAAAAAATTATCTAATAATGCCTATATAAATATTTGTTGAGTTTTTTTTTTATTATTTCTTATTTTATCTTTTTTTTTCAATTTTTACAAAAAGAAAAATTTTTTGATTTATTTTTTAACTTTTTCCTTTCACAATTTTACATTTGAAAATATTTTTTTACATTTTGCATATTTTTCCTTTCTTTGTTTGTTCTATTTTTGTTCATTTGATATGAAATAATATACATAATGAAAATGAATATATTTTTTTGAAAATATAAAAATTAAAATTAAAAAAATACAAAATTAAATTTAAACAAAAAAGAATTAATTATAATTTATAGTCAATAAAATTTGCTTTTTCTCGTGTAACGTCAACAAATTTTTATCCCTTAAAATTGATTAATTTAAATTAGATCCTATTGTTATCATATAAAGCCATATTCTAGTTCAATGACTTCAATTTCAAAACTTAAAGCAGATAATTAATTTTTCCCTTCATCTCCACAATTTATTTACCAATCATGTGTCTTGATGATCTTTGAGTACGCAGCAATGGGTTTTTAAGCCTAACATGTCACAATAACATTTGAAAACAACAGCAGCGTAACTAGGGCGGCTTATGTGGGTTAGGGCACCACATTACTTGGATAAAAATTATGAAATTGGTTTTTGGAAAGGAAATTTACAAAAATTTCTGGTGCTGGGAAAATCTTCCCTGCCAAATATAACTAATTTTTTTTTTATTTTTTTCTTTTCTTTAGAAGAGGGTGCTTATTTATATCCTTGGGGCGCTTTTTTTCAACATTATGCCCAAGGCGCCAGGAATCCCCCTAGTTACGCCCCTGGAAAAAATTATAATAGAAGATTTTAATAAAAACAAAAGCTAAAGATTTTCCATTGAATGACCAAAAAAATACGACCAGAAAAAAACCATAAATAAAGCAGATAAAATATTTTTTTAATTCTTAAAATTAATCGATGCATCAATTAAAAATAAATTCTTTTTTTATTGATTCAATTGGACTAGATGTGCTTGGATAACATGTCAAATTATTATGTACTAATGAATGACGAAAATTTCTTTTTGTCTTGTTCTTTAAAAGGAGAAAAATTTTCATTAATTTCTAATGAAATTTCTGCTTGGAACAACCTGATCACAAAGCCATCCTTCATATTTTTATCAAAGATGTATCAACACAAACAGATTGAATAGCTTTGAGCATTAAAAAGCTTTTAAAAATAATAAGTTATTTAAAATCACAAAGTAAATCCTGCAAATTGTTTATTTGTTGTCTGAAAATTTTTGAATTTAAAAATAGAACTGAATTTATTTGATTAAATTTTCAACCAATAAAGAAGCTTTAAATAAAAGTTGAAATTATAACGCTGCTTCAATTATTTGAAGAGTTTTTTAAGAGGACTTTTGTTATTTGAACTTAATTCGAAAAACCAAGCAAAATTAATTAATTGATGTGTTCAAAACATCTCTCAATCCAAAAACAGAAACATTAAATGTTTTATAAAGATTAAAGGTAATTTTAATGCAGACATGAGGGAAGATTGGAGTTGTTAAAAGATCAAAAGCGTTTTAATTTTTCTTGGTCTTTATTTGAGAAAGATTTAATAAATCTAAACTTTTTAGAAAATCACATTTCTAACCTTTAAAGAAATCAATTACAATTCCTTACTCCTACTATTAAAATTTCAATCTTTGCAAAACCTCAATAAAAGTTTTACAATTTTTCACATCAAGGTCGTACATAAAACAGTAACAGCATTTCAGAAACTGTAAACATGAATTAATCACCTTCACTTCATTAGTACATTTTAATGTTGACAAAAAAATTTTTTAAAAAAAATATTAATTTATCTTTACAAACAACATGTTGACGTGACAAAATTAATCAAAATGAATTAAAATGAGAATCATAGCCGAGCGACATATTACTGCAGAGTAGAATTTTATTAATCTTTGAGTTTCCAGGTTTTCCAATAGATTCGTCAAGATAAACAAAATGCTATTCTGTGGCTCAAAGTGTGTTGCTCGGCATATATTTAAAAATGTTAATTTTATTTTTTCACTTTTTGTTTGTTAAATATCATTTTTACTGGTTGCTCAATTTTCATTTCTTTTTTTAATTAAGACAAAAAAAATATATAACTTACTAAGGACGTCAAAACAAAGTCAATAAATAACAAATTATTTTGACATTCTTAGATAATGTTTATAATAAAGCATAAATGTGCATAAAAAAACATAAGCATAAGCATCGATCATAAAATTATTATATTTTTGTTGTTGTGAAGCATTAAAAGACACATTTAAGAAAGGCAAAAACCGATGATTTCTATATTTCTCTGTTTCTCTTTTTTGCATCAACTTTATATCTTGTTCAACTTTATCAACCTACATATAAATCTTATCCGGCCATCAAAAAAACACTGAAAATTGTTTAATATAAATGAAAAATTTATAAACATTTTGACACGAAAAAAAAAACTTGAAAATTCATAACAATTAAAATAAAAATTAAAGGTCCGGGAGGTCGAAGTCTTGTTGAAATTCAACATATATCGGGTGCCAATATACAAATTTCGAAGAAAGGAACTTTCGCTCCAGGCACACGAAATCGCATTGTTACAATTACCGGAGCACCACAAGCTATAAATACAGCACATTTTCTGATTGAACAGAGAATCAATGAGGAGGAGACAAAGCGAGCATGTCAAACGAAAATTGCAAATGCCACAACGGCAGCTGCAGCGGCTGGAGTATTGCAATAGAATTTACTAAACCATTCAACTGTTTTTATTAATTAAATTTTGTTCACAATAAATTTAACATAACAAAAAAATATGCGCTTAGTGAAAATTAAGAAAAATTGAATTAATCAATTTTTGTCACACGCCGAATGACTCTAAATTCAAAAGAAAAAAATATTCTCAAAAAGTTAAGAATTTAGAAACTTTATAGTGAATTGAGGATATTGAGTCGTTAGTCCTCATGTTATTGATTGAATTTAACTAGACAACAAAGTTAAAAGCCGATAAAATAATTATTATTTCACTATTTGATTCTCTCACCTTCTTGCTAAAATCAAATTTATGATGATAAAAAAAATATAAAGAAATAATTAGAATTTTAAAAAAATAGTAATGAAAATATTTCCACTCTCATTCAAAATGAATTAAAAAATTATATTTAAAAAAATATTTTCTCACGGGCATAATGACTGGCTTTCGACTTGCTACGTTATAAGCAGCAAGCTTCAGACTGTCATCACAATTCGTCCACTGTGAAGAGATGAATTATTGACAGGGATTATTTCTCTTCTTTGCTCTGATCTTATTTTATTATTGATCTTTTTATAAACATTTGTCAAAAGTTTTTAAAAACCTTCCAAAACTTTTATTTTAAATATTAAAATAAATCATGATCTGAGATATTTTAATCAGACTTCAACAAAAACTGTAAAAATTGAAAACTTAAATTTAAAAAAATATTTGAAGGTTCTTATTTAATTTTTTACAAATGTTGCTGATTCTATCAATAATAAGCTAAAGACTTTAAAATCTTTTAAAAACAGATTTGATGCAAAGAAGGAGCCATCAATTCCTGCTGACAAATAATATGAGAAAATGTTTTTAGTGAAAAAAAAAAACTAGGAAAATCTAGTTAATGAATTAAAATGGAAAGTGATCTTATTTAAATAATAAATAATAAATTAAAAAAAAAGTTTATTCAAAGTTTCAAAAAATAAAAATAATAACAACTCCTATCCATGAAATCTAAAAAAGGATAAAATAAAGGAAGAAGAATTCATGAAGCACCTTATTAAATTAATCAATATACATACATAGAAATGAATTTTACTACAATTAAAAACATGGGAAATGAAAAGTTGTTTATGATTTATATCGGAAAATATAAAGTATAAAGATTATTACGATATGGATATTGATGACAATGATGATGTTAAATGTGAAAACGGTAATAGGTGAAACAATATAAGAAATGATGATAGATGAAGTTCAATAGATAAAATGGATATATATATTTTTGTTGTGTATGTTTCGAGGAAGAAAAAAAAAATAAATGAAGATAAAGATGAGAAAAAAACGTGTATAGAAAAAAGACAAGTCAAGTTGAGTGGAGGCAATTTTGGAGAGGAGAGAAAGAAAATTGATAATGTTTCCAATTCAGTCTCATATGGTCTACTTCATTCTCTTTATTTTTTTGCAAGAAAAACAACCAAAAAGTCAAGGGAACGTCATTGAAAATATTTATTTCTACATAATCAGCCCACACGAGGAAAGTTTTTATGTTAAATTTCTTAGACCTTTTTCTGTACTGAATAAATTATTCAGGAAAGATAAAAATGAATTCTTCGAGGAATTTCACATGTGACATTCAAGAAGCGTTTAAAAAAAATTCACATCAAACTTTTTATAGAATCATGAATAAGTTGCAAAAAGAAATTTATTTCCTGATGCATTAATCACTAATAAGTTTGTTTTAATTTTAAGGTTGTGGGCGTATTAACAATGCCAGTCAAATTTTGTGTTCTTAGTCTTACCTTTGAATATTTAATTTGCTGCTCAAATATAACAAAAATTATTCATTTTATTGATATAACAAAGATCTCAAAAAAAGGGAATTTATATTGAATCGTCAGACTAGATACAGAATCCTTTCCAAAATTGCCAATACCTAATCCAAGTCATTGAAAAAAATAGTAAAAATTGTTTTCCTTTCCATATTTTATGTTTCAAATTTTGTTCTGCTTTAAATTTAGAAATTGAGAGTCATGAATATAAATACTGTTTTATTATAAATTTTATTTCAATATTTTAAATTATTGATGATACATGAAAAGAGAAGAATGTATAAAAAAAATATAAATTTATATTTCTTTGTTCAATAAATAAATAATTTTAGGTGATAGTCATGAGATAATAATAAAAAGGGTAGGGGATGATAAATGAAATGTTAAATAACGATGAAGATGATGAGATAGTTAAATCAAGAATTTTTGAAACAATGAAAACTTTATTTGATTTTTCCTTGAGTATAAGACAAGTATAGTTTGAGAAATGGGATAAAAAAAAAATCTTTCAAATGTTCAAAGTTTCCTCTTTCTATCTCTCCTTTTTCTTTCGTTTCTCTAGTTAAATACGAACATTAGAAAAAAGAAAACTTTTCATGCGGTTTTAATAAAAAAAAAAGACGATGATAAATGATAATAATAATGATAACAACATGTTACATTGAATTCTAATATTTATTAAATTAAAGTAATTATGTAAGGATTTTATATTAATTCTACTTAGATTCCTTTTGATTATTCCTTTTAATTGTTTCAAACATTTGATTGGATTCGTCAAAAGGAATCGTGAAACAGAAGGAAAATTGTAAGTAAGTAAATTTTTGACCTTCGTTTTATGCAGAAATTCTTTGTTATTTGTGAAGAGATTTGATGGACATTTATGAAATTTTCCTTTAGATTTTTATATGAAATAAAATTAAATCAAAAGCCTGAACATAATTCGATTTTATCTGACAGATAGTAGGGAGTATTTCTCAGAAACAAAAGTCATTTCAGAAACATTTGTAAATTTTTTCAAAATTACCATAAGTTTCATAATCGATCCATCAATCTTCATCACAGTAAAATTGTATTTGTTGCTCTGTAATTGATATAATTCAAGTTATATATATTAAAATATGAAGAAGGACATTCAAGAAGCCTGAAAAGTAAAGATTTTAAATAAAATTTTCACAACAATTTTTATAGTTTTCTGATCATAAATAGTTAAATTAAAATTGCATATACATAAGATGATCGACATTCACATAAACCGTTTATCAAATAAAATATTTCACATGCTGCATAAATAAATCATTGGAGAACATTACATACACATTTTCAAATAAATTAGTTCTAGTCAAGAGTGAATCGTTTTTTAACTGATAAAATTACAGAAAACATGAATGATGAGGACATACATTTTATATAACACATCACATGCAATAGATTTAAATGACAAGAAAATTAAATAGTTAAAGGCAATTTATATTAATTGGCATTCAATGCCTGCATATTCATTGAAAATATTTCTTTGATTTATGAAAATAGATAAATTTTAAGCATTGAGCAAAAGTTTATTGAAACTTATTTTATAAGAATTGTCAATGCTTCGAAAAAAGATGGAATCAAAATTGTAAAAAAGAATTCTCCAATTATGTAAAGCTCAACTGAATTTTAATTAATTTAACACATACACACATGCATTGTTATTATTATCAATTGATTGATCACTATAAAAAGAATCACCAAAAACATTCAATCAAAATAAAATTATAAATTGAAGTGCAATTTTCAAACAACAAGAAATGAAGACAAAAATCTTAAAATTCTTTCCTTTTACCATTCGTTATTTCAAACCATCTAAAAACATGTTTTATCGGACGTACAAAAACAATCAGTTTCTTTCAGATATTTAATGAGTCAACTCACTCACAAAGTGATTGAAAATTATCCTTATAAGATCGTTAAAAGGATATTTAATTTAATTAAATTTTACAATTGGCATTTGAAAATTTTAGAGAATTTAAATTTAATATGAATACGTATACGTCTTTTGAAATAACATGAAAGTTCAGTTTTATTTCTCTTTTACTCGTTTGCAATCCCAACACATTTTCAATCGATTAAGAAAAATTTCAAAATGTGTACATACATAGAAATTACAAAACACATCTTTAAAAAATTGACCTACTTACTATTATTTTGTGATTGATAATGAGATATTAAAGATATGATATGAAAAATTGGCAAAAGAATTTTTATATTAGTAATTCAACACCAGCTTCACGTGGAAATCAGAAAGTATTAACAATTCCTATTTTGTACTAAATGAGAAACAGAAAGAAGAGACGAAGACAAGAAGCAATATTTTCATCAATGAATTTTTTGATAATAAAATCTTAATCTTATTCGCGGATTTATTAATTCGAATTATGACATAAATTATTACATATTATATGAAGGAATTTTCACAACTTTTTGAAACTGATTTACGCACGACATGATAAAAAAAATGAAAAGTTGAATTTATTGATAATTGAAAAAAAAAATCATATTTATACAATTCAGTCAATTGATTAAACATAAAAAAATATTCAATGAATAGCTTTAGTCATAAAGTCCGCAAAACTGCATAATTTTTTTCCTCTTCTATAACTCACTTCATCACCTTTCTCTCTCTCTCTCTATCTCTATCTCACTCTT